CAGCCACGCGCCCAGGGGAAGTGAGAGTCCGTTCGGCTCCCTTTTTTTCATGTCTATACATATGTGTATATATATACATATCCATGAGAAGAAATCGAAGATCTCATTGCTCCCAGTTTCGCTAGTGCCAGTATCATCAGTTTCGCGTGTGCGTATTGGTCCCCTATGCCTTCGCCCTTCCCTTGCGAAACCGTCCCTGCCTTCCTTTTCAAAGTTTGTTGCGGATGACATTACTTGAAGCATCCCTAGGGGCCTTTCACACAAGTTACTTGGGGTCGTGTTGGGGGGTTGTGGAGGCCTACTGGACGCGTTTTGGGGGGGTCCTCTTGGGGCTTGGGGCTTCCTGGCTGCCAACCACTGTCTCCCTTTACGACTGGGCCATGATCTGGAGTGCTCTGGGGGGAATTTGGGGGGCCACCTAAGGCCGTCATAGGGCTCTCTTCTTAGATTTGTTTGGTACCCATTTGGCTTGTTTTTGTGCGGTGTTCGGGGCCTCCTAGGCTTTCTCGGAAGCCCAGGAGTCTAGAGAACCGAGCACCCGAAAATCACACCAACACATTCGAAACGCATTTGTTTGATTGTGTTTGTGCGTTCCGATGGCCTCTTGGGTGTGTTTTTTGGGTCGTCGTCAGGCGTCTTGGGGGTGTATGGGGCCGCTTTGTGTTCTCACGGGGCCGTCTGGCCACATTCTTGACCTCCTTTGGACCTGGCTTCGAGGCCTTGCGGGGACGTCCGGGGGGTCTGGAAAGCAGACGATACGTCCTGCAGGAGGTCGCGGATAAGAGTGAGGGGGCGGCGGGGACGTCGGCAGTTTGCGAGGCTTTGGGGAAGCCCGTCGCAGGCGCCTAATTCTCACAAATTCTACAACGAGCCCGCCGCAGGCGTCGATTTTTCGTTACAGCAATGTGGGTGGGTCGCAGGGTGGGTCGGGGGTGGATCGCGGGTGGGTCGCGGGTGGGTCGCGGGTGGGTCGCGGTCCAGGTCGAGGATGGGTCGCGGGTGGGTCGCGGGTGGGTCGCGGATGGGTCGCGGGTGGGTCGCGGGTGGGTCGCGGGTGGATCGCGGGTGGATGCCGGGTGGGTCGCGGGTTGTGTCGCGGGTGGGTCGCGGGCCGGGTCACGGGCGGGTCGCTGGGTGGGTCGCGGGTGGTTCGTGGGCCGGGTCGCGGGGACGACGCCAAACAACAACAGCAAACAAACAACAAAAACATAATCCGCACCGCGGAATCCAATTTCAGCCACGTGCCCAGAGACCGTGAATGACCGTTCGCCCTCTGATAATTTGTAAAGAATAGGCGCCTTCGGCGGGCTTCTTCAGAGCCTCGCAGACTGCCGACGTCCCCGCCGCCCCCTGACTCTTATCCGCGACTGCGGGGTGCTACGTATATGCGTATAGAGATCAGTAAATGCTGCCTGCGCCAACCCTGGCCACCGTGCCAGCCCCGCAGTCTGCGTGGTGGCTTTTCGAAGGCTCACAGGAGACCGTCACGTGTGACCCCTCGTGTTTTCAGGCTTGGGGAAGCCGTGGTGGGAATGATGTGGATTATGAGAAAGATGGGCATTATGCTTTGGATGATAACGGTGATGATGATGACGATGATGATGATGATGGTGGTGATGATGATGATGATGATGATGATGGTGATGCTGCTAATGCTGATGATGATGCGGATGGTGATGATGATGATGATACTGATGATGATGCTGATGATGATTATGATGATGATGCCGATGATTTTGATGCTGACGATGGTTACGATGTTGATGACGTTGATGATGATGATGATGATGATGATGATGATGATGATGCTGATGATGCTGATGATGGTGACGATGCTCATGATGATGCTGATGACGATTATGATTATGATGATGATGCTGATGATGATGGGGATTGCGATAGTGATGGTCATGATGATGGTGATGGTGATGATGGAGAGGATGATGAAGATGATGGTGATGGTGATGGTGATGGTGATGGTGATGATGATGATGATGCTGATGATGATGATGATGATGATGATGATGATGGTGATCATCATGACGAGGAGCAGCAGGAGGACGAGGAGGAGGAGGCGGGCCAGTGTAACAGAAGGCGCAGAAACGATGATACAGACACCCTCCCTCGCAGTTCCCTCATCGCAGGTCACTGCGAGAAATTCTGTTCGTTGCAGGACGTGCTCCATTGACAGACAATCCTTTGAGAATCCTCAACCGTGTCAGAAAACCGCTCGTGGGTCTTCAACGCCGCGAGTCAGCTTCATTGCTGCGTCCTGACAGTCCTGCTTCGTGCCAGAACACCGTTCCTGGGACTCCAGCACCGCGAATTGACAAGATTGTTAACGCCCTGGCAATCCGAACTCGTGCCAGAACACCATTGCCTGGACCTCAACCCTACACATCCTTCATCTTCTTGCAGGGTGCCAAGACTTGTGCGCAGCGCCAGGGTGAGAGCCACATTTTGAAAAAGAGCCCCCCTCCATCCTTGAAACCGCTGAGAACTTTTCAGATGAATGCGCGCAGCGCCAAGGCGGCAGGAGAGCGAGAACATACATATCGAAAACGGTCCGCCCTCTGTCTGCAACGCCTGGCCCGCCCTACCGACGCGCCTGGGGGCGCGACAAGGAGGAGTTACGTAGTACCCCGCAGTCGCGGATAAGAGTCGGGGGGGGGGCGGAGACGTCGGCAGCTTGCGAGGCTCTGAAGAAGCCCGCCGCAGGCGCTTAATGTTTACACATCATGTTTCGTTAAAGCAGTGTGGGTGGGTCGCGGGGTGGGTCGCGGGGGGATCGCGGGTGGGTCGCGGGCCTTGTCGCGGGTGGGTCGCGAGTGGGTCGCGGGTGAGTCGCGGGCGTGTCGCGGGGTGGGTCGCGGGTGGGGTGCGGGTGGGTCGCAGGGTGGGTCGCGGGTGGGTCGCGGGTGGGTCGCAGGCGGGGTCGCAGGGGGGACGACGCCAACCAACAACAAACAAACAACAATAAGAATTTGCATCGCGGAATCCCACTTTAGCCACTCACCCAGGGACAGAGAATGACCGTTCGGCCCCCTTCACTCTGATTCATAACAAAGGGGGGTAGCAGGTGGAGGAGAACAAGTGGACGGCCGTCACGTGTGACACATGTCGCCCTCGCTGGCTGAGGAGCTACATCTCGCTCGTTTGGACCGTCTTGAGGCTGCCCTGGCCTCCTGTGAGGTAGTCTTGGGGGGCCCATTGGGGCCGTCTTGGGCCATTGTGCCCTCTTACGCCGTCTTCGGGCAGTCTTGGGCTGTCTTGGGGCTCTCTTGGCTGTGCGCTGGGTGTCTAGGGGCTGTCGTGTCACCGTCTCGGTGCCGTACTGGGCCTTCGACGGGCCTTCTAAGGCCGTCGTAGGTCCCACGAGAGGCCGTTTGGGGGCAGTATTGGATGCCTTTGGGACACCCATACATACATACATGCATGCAAAAGCATACATACATACGTACAGACGTACAGGCATACATATACACACAGACATCCAAACATACACCCCCAGGCCGAAAGCTTTCCTCTTGGATTGATAATATGAGAACACTGATGGAACCAATCGGATCTTTGTTTCGGCTGCGCGACAGCGTCGTGCACCCTATTCTTGTCCTGCGAGGATCAAATTGCCCCCGATAGGTGCGCCGGGTTTTCACCTCACGTTCATTGCCTCCTCGTCAACGAGCACCCGATTGAGCGAAAACGGCGAGAATCCTCGGGACCCGTTTCCCTCAAGGCCCCCGTACGTCTTGACCACGTCGAGCGCCCGTGCCCCGCGGGCCCCGCCCGCAGGCGCTCGCCGAGGAGCCGGCCGCCGAAGGCGCCGCCGACGGGCAGGCCACGGGCCGACGCGTCTCGCGGGGGTGGCCCTCGTGGCGGCGAGAGAGCCGCCGCCGCCGCCGCCGCTTGCCGCCGCATCTGCCCAGTGCCGCCGTAGTTGCTCGCCGCCGCCCCCACGGGTGCCGCCGCCGCCGCCCCCGCGGGTGCCGTCCCCGCCGCCGCTTCGGGGTGCCGCCGCTGTCGCCGCTGCGCCCGCCGCCGCCACAGGGCGCTGCCCTGCCGAGAGAGTGTCTGCGACGGCGGCCGTGTGGCGGGGCGCGGGTGCGGGCAGGATGACAGCGTCGGCGACTACGACGACGAGGAGGACGACGGCAACTCATGGAGCCTTTCCTGGAGCCTCCTAGGGCTCCCCTGGTGCCTCCCGGGGTCTTCTGGAGCAGCTGGGGTCTCCTCTCCGCTGGCATCCAGGGGCATCTTGGTGCCTCTGGGGGGGCTGACCACGAAGAGCCCTCACGCGCGCATCCGCCCCCAGACCTTCTCGGTGCCCGCCACCCTCCAGCAGTGGTACAGCGTCGTGCCCTGCAAGGAGCTGCCCCCCCAATCGAACCGAGCCTCGATCGCCCCGTGGACTTCCCCGCCACTCCATGAGCGTCTTGTCTTTCAGGGCCTCTGGCGGGCCGTTTCTGTGCCGGTACATCACTCCAGAGCGTTCTGGAGCGCTCTCAGAGCTTTCTGGAACGCTTCGGAATTGCCGCGGCGACCGCTGCCTCTTCCAGACGCAGCGGTTCTCAGAGTTTTTGTTTCAGTTTCCCCATCCTGAGTGTCCATCCGCAGCCACTCCCTGGCGTGTCGATCTTCGGGGACCTCGGCAGGCGGTAGATATGGACATATTTCCCCGAAGATGTCCGTGTCCATCGCCTGCCGAGGTCCCCCAAGATCGATCCCCAAGTTGAGCGATTCAAAGCATCGGGTTCGATTGCGCGGACATTCGCACGTTAGCTGCCCGCGCATGGTCGCGCGCAAGTACTTTTGTTTCTTATGTAGTGTTCCGTGGTGGCGGCTTGCGTAGGCCTCCGCGTAAGGTCGCCATGCATATTGTGTAAGAGCTGTTTCTTCTCGTCACTCAGGTGGTGGTTATGGAAAAATTCCCGCATCGTGCCCCGTGAAATCAAGCCGCCACTGGATGTCTGCCCCCTCCCCCCCCGTGCCGCCGGGCCAAGGAGCGCCTGCCGGCGCTGATCGCGGCGCTGCTCGGCAAGGCGGTGCGCCGTGCGCGGGGAGGAGCGCTGGAGGCTGCATCAGCTTCGGACCACGGAAGCAGAGGGCATCGCCAGTGGAGACGAGACGGGCCCGGGCCCGGCCGCGCAAGTCGGCGGCACGGGCCGGCGGAGGCGGGCGTGGAGCAGCCGGCCTGCCGTTTCTGGGCTCTCGCCCCGTCGCCTCCTCGTGGGCGCCGCGTGCAGTGGCATGCGGCCCCGGGTGTTCGCCCTCTCGCCGCCCGTGGGCGCCTCCTCGTGCGCGCCCCGTGCGCGGGCTGCACCACGTGCCGTGCACGACATAGCTTCCACCACACGGAGCGTTCCGAAAAGGGCCTCGCCTTCGAGGATCGAAGGCGTTGCCATGTCGTCCTCGGCGGAAGCCCGGCGGAAGGCGACGGAAGTAAAAGGAGGCTGCCTCCGCCGGCGGAAGCCTGCGGAAGCCCGGCGGAAGCTAGCAGAAGCATCCGTCGGCCACCCAAGAGATCACAGCCTTTTTAGGTTCAGGGTGTCTGGAATCCGCCACATACTTGCAGTGCACAGTTTGCACCACATTGATTGCACCACATTGTTTACACCACGTGACTTGCACCGCAAGGATTCCCCCCACACAGCTTGAACTACATAGCCTGCACATTATGAATGCGCTCCCTGGTTATCAGTACGTTTATTTGTCTTGCTTTTCTTCCTGTTCCCCTCCCCCTCCCTTAGGATGCAATTCCCCGGGGGTTTACATGCAGCATCGGCGCTGATAGATCCGCGGTCAACAACCAACATAATTTAGCATAATCCGTTCAAGTCCGCTGGATGCCAGGCAATCCAGCTTCATCGGGCTCAATCCCGAGCCTTCTCCGGCTTTTACGGGGCATGATAGCACGTTTGCTTTACGAAGGTTTCCCAGGAGTTGCCTCGTAACCCGCTCCCCCTTGAGGAACAAACTCGACTACACGTAAGAGTGACCCTTCGCCGGAGTGACCTTTGGTGCGGGCTCACCGGGGTCCCCCCGACCGCTGAGCGCTATGCGATAGTGGCTGCTTGCGCCCTTGGACTTGGCCACCTTACGCCCGAGTCCGCGCACTAAAGGTCACTCTTGCCCAGGGTAACTCTTGCGTGCCGCCGACAAACAGTGCATGAGCATGTGCTTCCGGGGAACCTTGCAGATCTCTTGGAGCGGCGCTGGCCCCCCCCGCATCCTGGCGTGGCAGGAGCGCGCCGGGGGCGGCGTCGGAGGCGCTATACCCCACGGGGGCCCAGCACCGATTTCAGGAAATCCGCGCAGAGCTCCGAACATTCATGGCTCGTGCAGTGTTCCTCTGCCTCTGCCCCTCCGCCCCAGGAGCCGGCGGGGCCGCGAAGGCGATCGTCTTCTTCTCCTCGAAGGAGTCCGTGGACTTCCACCGCGACCTGCTGCTGGACGCCCGGTGGCCCACGCCGCGCGCCAGGAGCGGTGCCCTCGCCGGGGGGGGGGGCTGGCGGACGCCTGGCAGACGCCGGGCGCGCGGCTGCGGGGGAGGGGCAATGCAGCTGGCAGGAGGGCTGAGAACAACCCCAACTTTTGTGTTTGGGCTTTCCATGTGTTCCTTCGGCCGCGTCCTTTCCTCGCTCCTGTTCAGGGCCGGATCCCCCGATCCGATGGCAGCGCGCTCTCTCTCGCTGTCTTCCTCGCTCATCCTCTCGCATGGTGGCACAATTCGCTCCAACGGCATCCCCGCTTCAGCCTCTCATCGCCAACGCAGTGCAGTCACCCTCTGCCTAGCCGCCGTCACAAAAGTTTGGGCTTTCCACCTTGGAGCGTGTGCTTCAGTTGGGGTACCTCCATGGGGCATGTGCCTTCTGCGATGTAGTGTGCGTTCTTGGCCCACGCCGCTCAATTGCGGGAGGGGAGGGGGGTCAACACACGGGGCACTCCACGGGAGGAGGAGGAGGAGGAGGAGGAGGAGGAGGAGGAGGAGGAGGAGGAGGAGGAGGAGGAGGAAAGGAGGAGGAGGAGGAGGAAAGGAGGAGGAAAGGAGGAGGGCCTCGCCCGAAGCGGATCAAAGGGGGTCTGCAGCCCTTCCTCCCGCGGAGGGCGGCGGGAGGTCGGGAGGGGGGGATGCCATGCCCTCGAAGCAGTGCAGCAATCATGTGGCGGACGCTCCTCTGCGCTGTCAGCTGCTCGCGCGCCTCCATGGCATTCTGCGCGAATCCCCTGCGTGGTCGGGCGGGGAAGGATAGGGGAACGAAGAATGACGTAAACATAACAGCTCGGAGGTACGCGCGCATTGCTCAGATCCGCGCCCGGACCCCCCTGGCGGCGCCTCCGCGCCGCCCCTGGCGCGCTCCGCGCGCCAGTGAGGGGGCTCCTGTGCCGATCCGAGGAACCTGCGCGGACCTCCGAGAATCTCTATGTGTGTGTCCCTCTTCGTTCTCCCAGAAGATCAGCGGGCGCCTCTCTCCGCTTGGGGCCTCGGGAGGCCCTCGCTGGGCCCCGGGAGCGTTCAGAGAGGGCCGAGGGTGGAAGGAGCCGGGGTTCTCTGGCGCGTTTCATGCAGGGCCTCGCTTTTAAGAGGGAACCCGGCAGCTGGCACCGCTTCTGCGGCGGGGGGCGCGGGAGGTCGGCGCAGCCTGGCGGATGTAAAAGTTGCCCGCCCAAGAGATGCCAGGGGGAGGAGGAGAAGAGGAGGAGGAGGAGGAGGAGGAGGAGGAGGAGGAGGAGGAGCAGGAGCAGGAGGAGGAGGAGGAGGAGGGAGGAGGAGGAGGAGGGGGGGAGGGAGGGGGAGGGGGGAGGAGGAGAAGGAGGAGGAGGCGGGGGAGGAGGAGGCGGAGGAGGAGAGAGGAGGAGAGAGGAGGAGGAGGAGGAGGAGGGGAGGAGGAGCAGGAGGGAGGAGGGGAGGGGGAGGAGGAGGAGGAGGAGGAGGAGGAGGAGGAGGGGAGGGGAGGAGGAGGGTCTTTTGGATCCAGGGCTTCCGTATCCCGGCCCACTGTGAGGATTGCAGGCAAGTTGCTTTCGAAGGGCCCTACTCGAACGCGGGCCGAACTCTTGGTGGGATGGTGCGCGGTTCCACCCCTCCCTCGGAGTTCCCCCCTGTCAACGAGCGCCTCGCAATCGTCGCCGCCAAGGCCTTCGCCGAAAAGGTCGTCGTCGTCGTCGTCGCAAAGGTCGTCGTGGAGGAGGGCGTCGTCGCCGCCCGCCATCGGCGAAATCATCGTGGAGGAGGTCTTCGTCGGCGTCTGCGTCGTCGTCGTCGTCATCGGAGGAGGAGGAGGAGGAGGAGTCGAAGGAGGAGGAGGAGGAGGAGGAGGAGGAGGAGAAAGATGTTGTCTTCGCCGTCGCCGTCGTCGTCGAGATCGTCCTGGAGGAGGGCGCCGGCGTCGTGGGAGGATGACGAACGAGGGTGTCGTCTTCACCGCAGTCGTCGCCAGCGTCGTTGTCCGGGTCGCCGGAGATCAAGGGCTGGTTGGCCGACGCCACAGCCGGGAGTTGGGCCGAGCGAGATTTTGGCGAGCCGCCGCCGCCCTCGGCCGCCGTCGACCGGTCGGAGGTCGGCGCATCGGCAACGTCGCGGCTGTCGTCGAGGATCGACGGGTCGGTCGGCGTAGCCGTGGTCTTCGACGGGGGTCGATCGATCGGTCGGCTTCGTCGTGGTCGTCGTCGAGGGTCGATCGATCGGTGGGGGTCGACGTGGCTGTCGTCGTCGATCGTTCGCCGTCGTCGTTGTCGTCGTCGTCGGCGGTGTGGATCGATCAAGGTTCGATGCTTGGACTGATCGATGGTCGCTCCCGTCGTTATCGGCGTCGATCGGTCTCGGCAGCAGAGATCTTGGGCGTTCGGGAGCCAATTCGAGCCTCCAGGGGCCCCCATCGTTGGCACTGGCTTGGTCCGCCTCGAAATGTCCTGGCGCAGGATGCACCCCACAAGAGGTGCAGGGGTCGTTTGTCGCCAGAGTTACACTGTAACTGCACATCGTAGCATTCAGGGCGCCGAACCTTTCTATCACTGACGGTTATTGCCCCACTATGGGTAGCCGATCTTCCACTTAGCCGGTTGACCGTTCCACCTTTTAGCCGGCTGGCCGTTCTACCATTTTGCCAGGTGGCCGTTCTACCATGTAGATCTCCCCACCATTTAATCTGTCCTGGCTTCGATATGTCCCTAGAGTCAATCCCTTGCAAGTCGAGAGTTACCCAGCTCCTCGATCCTCGATCGATTGATCCCCAATCGACTGATAGATCGAGCATCGAGGTCCGAAAGGCGATCGAGAATGTCGCCCTCAAGGAGCCGCGGGAGACTTCCAGGGCCCCCCCCCATAGACCACTGGGGCCCATCCAGCGACCAGACGATGTTGGTCGCCGCTGCCGTCTTTTTTGGAGGGATCGAGGACAGCGACGTCGTGGCCGATGGAGGGAGGGAGGGAGGAGTGCTGGAAGATGAAGGGGGGGAGAAGGGCGAGGGGGCGTTGTAGGATGAAGATGGTCGACGGGGTGGATAACGACGAGGACAGGACGAGGGGGAGGAGGTGGACCAGCGGAAGGGAGGGAGCAGAAGCAGGGGCAGGAAAGAAGGCATACAGAGCAGGAGAGCGGGAGGGCGAAAAGCAGGAGGAGGAGGAGGACAGGGTTTAGGAGATAGGGGGAGGGGCATGGGAGGAGCAGGGGGATGGGGGATCAGCAGGAGCATGTGCAGGAGTCCGAGGAGGGGAGATGTAGAGTATGAGGAGGAGGGGGAGAAACAATGATAGTAGTTAGTTGGAGGATGGGCGGGCGCATGCGCACCAGCAGGGGCAGGAGGATGCGCGGGAGCTGGGCAGCGAGGGGGAGGACGGGTGTTGTGATGGCTTGAGGCGGGCAGGGAGAAGGCGGAGACGGAGGGGTGTGAAAAGGATCGAGGAAGAAACAACGGCATGAACATTAGCTTTCGACGGTCTGCGCGGATTTCTCGGATCTGCGGTGGACCCCCCTCCCTGGCGCGCGGAGCGCGCCAGGTGCGTCGCCGGAGGCGCTGCCAGGGGGTCCCAGCGCAGATCGAAAAAATCCGCGCAGACCGCCCAAAGTTTATGTTTATGCAGCTTGTCGTTCTTCGAGGAGGCGGGAAAAGGGGGTGATGGTACGGTCACGCACGTTTGCTCAGCGTGTTGCGCCGCTGGTCCTGGCCCACCACGCTTTGGCGCGACACGCGAACCGCGTCCCAGCTCCCAAGAGTCGAAGGTCCGAGCTTTTCCCAGCCTCGCGCTCTTCGAAGCGGAGCGACACGCCCTCAGCTCGCAGGGCGTGGCGAGTCGCAGGGGCCGGCGCCACGACACGCTTGGCAACAGTCCCGTCTGCAGTCTATTGCGGAGGAGGAAGGGGAACGCGACCGCCCTCAGGAGGCGCCCGGCGGACAGGAGGGCCGGCCGCCACCTCGGCGGCGGGTTTGTGGGCCTCCCGCGCGGGGGCGGCTCTGAGGATTGCTTTCGGGCGGGTGCAGGGGGGGCGGGTGGCCCAATGAAGGGGGAGGCAGGAGATGGAGGAGAACGACGTGGAGGGAGGAGGAGGAGGAGGAGGAGGAGGAGGAGGAGGAGGAAGACGAGTGCAAACCCGAGGCGCACCAACGATGTTGTTGCAAGAATCCTTCAAAATTTGCGGGAAGTGCCACACTGGAAGACAACCGTCCGATAACCCTCGACCGTGCCAACGCTTACTTCCTGGGGCTTCAACAGCGCGAGGAAATGGGACTGCTGCGTCCTGACAGTCATACATCGTGCCAGCACGCCGTTCTTTGGACCGCAACTTCGCGGATCAACGCGGCTGCTGCGCCCTCGCAGTTTAAAATTGCAGCACGACGCAACTGGTGGGACTTCAACCATAAGAATTATTCGAGCTGCTGCCATCTTCTGAAACGAATGTGCGCGCGACCCGAACGCGGGGGGGGGGGCTGATTGGAAAGGAAGCTCCCTGCGCCTTTGAAGTTCCCGCAAACTTTTCAAGCGCATGCGGGTGGCGCTAACGAAAGAGCCACGTGTCGCAAACGACCCGCTCTCCGTCCCTGACGCCGTTTTTTTAGACTGTCGAGAGGAATGCGCGCGGCGTGAACATGGGAACCGCACTTTGAAAACGGCTCGCCATCCATCCCAGAAGCTGCTGCAATGGTTTCAGACGAGTGCTCGCGGCGCGAAAGCGAAGGCCATATCGAGAAAACCAATCCCTTTGAAGCGCTACTTGCGTTTCTGGGACCCCGCAGACTGTGAATGAACTGTCTGGGCCGTCTTGGGGCGCTCTTGGACTGTCTTGGCCCCCTGGGGCTCCTCTGCAGGCTTCGATGAAGGCTCCTGCCAGGCTGCACCCGAGGCACTTTTTTCCCCTGGAGGCCCCTGTGTGCCGCCCCTCGCGCGCGCAAGCTAGAACAGCTGTTAACCTGTTACCCGGGATTTCGGCACGCCTCTGGCCCGCTGGGCCGGCCAGTGTATACGGAAAAGGGGCGGGGGGCGGCGCGGACGTCGTCAGTCTGCGAGGCTCTGAAGGAGCCCGCCGCAGGCGCCCAACTTTTACAAATTATGCATTGAGCCCGCCGCAGGCGCCGATTTTTTGGTTAAAGCAATGTGGGTGGATCGCGGGGTGGGTCGCGGGTGGGTCGCGAGTGGGTCGCGGGCGGGGTCGCGGGTGTGTCGCGGGTGGGTCGCTGGTGGGTCGTGTGGGGTCGCGGGGGGTCGCGGGGTGGGTCGAAGGTGGGTCGCGGGTGGGTCGCGGGTGGGTCGCGGGGTGGGTCGCGGGTGGGTCGCTGGTGGGTCGCGGGGTGGGTCGCGGGTTGGGTGGCGGGCGGGTCGCGGGGTGGATCGAGGGTGGGTCGCGGGTGGGTCGCGGGCTGGGTCGCGGGGTGGGTCGCGGGGTGGGTCGCGGGTGGGTCGCGGGGTGGGTCGCATGGGTCACGGGGTGGGTCGCAGGGGGGACGACGGCAACAAACAACAACAACAATAACAACAACAACACCAACAACAACAACAGCAACAACAACAACAGCAACAACAACAACAACGCAACACGCAGAATCTTCACCACGGATCCCCACTAAAGCCACGCACCCAGGGCCAATGAATGATCGTTCGGCCCTCTCACTCTGATCAAAACTGTTCTCTTTTACCGGCACGCGTGTCTTGTATTCTGTAAGCCCAACCTTCGATACCCGCCCACTTCGTCTTAGATCACACCACCGCTTGGGGGAAACATCTTCCTTGTCGGCCACTGACTGAAGTGAGAGGAACTCTCGAGCGAGAGCGCCGTTCCTGAGTTCTGGGGCGTCTCTGGCCAGGGGCTTTCGGAATCCATATTGAGACATATCGAACGGGAGCCCTTGTCGCCGTGCCTGTGCCTCCACCAACTTGTTTGAATTACAATGAAAACTCGAGCGTGAGCGCCACTCTTGAGTTAGGGGGCCTCTCTGGCTAGGGCCTCTTGGAATACAACTTGAGGAAGTATCGAACGAAAACCATTGTCGTCGTAGTTGGGCCTCGGCCAATTTGACTGGATCATGAGAAGGTCTCGAGCGAGAGCGCCGTTACTGAATTCGGGGGCCATCCTGACCAGGGGCTCTCGGAGTAAATCGTGAGGAAGTATCGAGCAGGAACTCTTGTCGTCGCGGCTGGGCCTCCGCCAACTTGACTGAATATCGAGGGAGCCTAGAGCGAAAGCGCCGTTCCTGAGTTCGGGGGCTTTTCTGGCCAGGGTGTCTCGGGGTAAATTGTGAGGAAGTGTCGAATGGGAGCCGTTATCGTTGTAGCCGGGCCTCCAAGGGCACACATTTACAATCGAGCCCGCGCTCGAGCGGGAGCTTCGTTTTCAGAGGAATTGCAACCGGCGTCGAAGCGAGAGCGCGCGGAACCGTTTGCAGAGATCAACAGAAGTAGTCCCTAAAAGTGAGTACCCAACATCAGCACCAACAACACGACGACGACGTCATCGACAACGACCACGACAACCACAACCGAATGCTCAATGCTTCCATATGCAGCATGTATCCATCATGATAGCTCCCCCCATCATGGGGGATTCTGTTTTTGCGCACGGGGTGTTCCGTCTCCCTGATATCCCGCCCAAGGAGGGTGTGACAACACCTCTTCAGAAACACTTCAACATTTGCGGTCCGTATTGCACATCGCCTTGGCAATCCCCATACCCAGATCTTGTTTTCAGGTCCCACGACGTTTGAGTGGCCTAAGACGTCAGGGAGGGGCCTCACAATCTCTGGTAGAACCCCGCGCAGAGCCCCCTAAGCTTCTGAGGGAATTTCCAGAGTTTATGCTTTTAGGCATTCTACCCCTGCCTGGGGACCGCTTTTGCATCGGCCGTTTTCTGATAGCGCGGGGGCTCGTCGTCGTTGTCGTCGCCGCAGCCGCCGCCGCCGCTGCCGTTGTTTTCGTCGTCGTCGTCGTCATCCTCTTCCTCCCTGTAGTCCTCCTCCAAAAAATGTCCCTGGCCTTCAGTGTCTCCAGATTTTCCACGACGCCCCCGACGGCTTCCAGAACACCACGACGACGACGACGACGGCGGCGGTGGCGGCGACGGCGGCGGCGGCGGCGGCGACGGCGACGGCGCCACGCCCCGGGCACGAGCGAGAGCGAAATCGCGCGGAGCAGGCGCGAAAGCGCGAAAGCGCACTCAGGGTGCCCAGCAATATGATTTTTTGGGCGACGACAAGGACGACGACGACGACGACGACGACGACGACGACGACGATAGCGGCGGCGGCGGCGACGACGATGGCGACGTCGCCACGCCCCAGGTCGCGAGCGAGAGCGAGGTCGCGCGGAGCAGGCACGAGAGCGCGAAAGCGCATTCAGGGTGTGTTACAGTGATAACTTTTTAGTACTTGGATCAACGGGGACTTGGTCAGCTTCAGGGCCTCCTGGGAGTCTTTCACAGAAGTGGAAATGTCGAGCGAGAGCGTCGTTGTTTGTAATGGGTCCTGAGGCTGGATCGCCGATCCTGTGAAACAAACAGGGAAGTATCGAGCCGGAGCGTTGTTGTTGTTGTTGTTGTTGTTGTTGTTGTTGTTGTTGTTGTTGTTGATGTTGCTGTTGTTGTTGCTGTTGTTGATGGGGGGGGGGGGGGGGGGCGGGCGCTTTTGTCAGAAGCCCGGAACGCTTGATTTTGACCCTCATATGCAAAGGGACCGCAGCCGGCGCCCGGGCGAGAGGGCGAAAGCGCATCGACGGCGTCCAACAGTTATAATTGGTTATCGTGTAAGTAAAAAGCCAAAAACAACCACGAGCGCAGCAACGACAACGACAACAATCATTTTAAAACACTTCGCTCCGATTTGCCCGCGTGCCACTGAATCGGTATATCCCAAACCCCCGGCGCCCGCCCTCGTCGTCTTCGATCGGACCCCCGTCGAAGGTGCATCTTCCGAACTTGCCGCGCGCATTTAGTGCAACCCCGGAAAGAAAAAGAGAAGACGGGTGGAAAGGGGGAGTGGGGCGAATGGAGCGCGAGAGAAATCAGCAAGAGGGGGGCGAGGAGCAGACGACAAAATGTAGAACCAGACAGGCAGATCGGGTGGGCAGATCCACGAAAGGCATGTCGGGAAGACGGGCCCAGGCGACCACGTCGAGCAGGCGGGTTGCTGAAGCGTGGGTCCTGCATGAATCCATGAGTCGCCAAGAAGTCTCAGAGGATGGATGGATGGTGTCCCCTGGCCAGGGCGGCAGCAGCATGCGGAGACCCCGGGCGTGGCCCCCTTTGGTAGCGCGTGCTAGCGGGCCCGAGAGGTCGACGCCGGCGACCTTGCAACGACCGGGCGGGGACATTTTGCGACCAGTAGGAGGACGGGGACGGACCAGGAAGAATTGCTGCTGCCTGCTGCGAGCAACGGCCGCCCCTGGAGGGCCAACGCAAAGCTTCTGGGGTGACGCGCCCGCAGTCAGCTGAAGTGCGATCAGGCCGTCTTCGATGAGCCGGACGGGCGAGGGGGCGGGAAGGAGTGGGAGGACGGAAGGAGAGGGGCTGGGGAAGTTGGAACATGTGTGGGGACAGGAGGAGATGGGGCTGAGGAGGAGGAGGAGGACGGATGCGGGAGCATGAAGATAGAGCGGAGGGGAGGAACAAGAGTGGAGAGGGGGGGAGGAGGGGCGCGGTGACCAATAACACTTGTTTGTGAAGTGTGCCACCCCCAGGCGCCCCAACCCCTGGCTAAGCAACAACACTGTGTCCTTTTCTCCCAACCGCCATATGACTCACTTAAAGGAGTTATAGATATCCCTAAAGGCTCGACGGTTTTTTTCCAATCGGCGTGCGGGGTCCAACCATATAAATCAAGGTATGGCTACGCGATCGATGCAAATCCAAGCACCGATGTGCACCCGGAGATATCGCAAACTGCCGAAAGGACGCAATCATAATACGTGAAACATGATTATATGACGACGACTTTCACGCACTGTTTCCGGATGCTGAATTTGTGTGCGAAATTGAAGAGCACAACAGCACGATAACAGATTTGCTGATATGTACAGAAGGATACATTTTCAGTTGATCCGAGCAAACAAGAATTCGATCTGGCATTTGGCATGCGTCTGACCCGGCCCGCGTTTGGCGCGTCGGCTGCGGCAAGCTGGAAGAGCTGAGCGCGGCGCGCATTTGGCGCGTCGTGCAGGACGGGCTCGTCGGGCCCCTGGGTGTACTCTCAACCTTTCGGGGCGGGCGGCGGGCGTGAGGCCGCCCCCCTTCTCCTACTTCTCTGAAGCCGTCGCCGTCCGCTCTCCTGTCTTTCCTCCTCCGTTTGGCGGCGCCCCTCCCCCCCCCTGGCTCTTGCTCCTCTCCCTCTTGCCCCTCGCTTCTGCGTGCCTGGCCCCACCTCGGGGCAGCGGATCCAGCGCCCCCCCTTCAAAAAAACAAGCTGATGTCTCAAGCACCCCCGCGCTGCGCCCTCCTCCTTGCGTTGAGTCGGGCCTGTCCATTTACAGGAGGAGTGTTCAAACATAGTAGAAAAAAATCGTAGGGGAGACTGTTTGACCATTTTGGGGTATTTGTGAGGACCTTTCTGGGTATTTTTTGTTTTTCGTCCAAAATCCGCCTGCACGGGGACACGCCCGACCTCCTCGCGAGGGCCCGCTCGCCGACCCCCCCCCCCACAGCGGCCGGCGGCGCCTCGCCGCCGCACCAGATGCCCCGGGCAGAGAGGGCACCGTCGGGGCGCGGAAGGAGGAACCCTTTGTCGTTGGGGAGGGGCTCGGTGTTCCTCGATTTGTTTTGCAGCTTGCCACAGGTTTTCCCGAGGTTTCCCATGGGAAATAGAAGTACAACTTATTGAAAAAAAGGGCCTCGTTCCTTATTGCTTATTGAGGGTTCCTCAGGTCAACGCCCCGACTTAGGGGCTCCGTGTTCCTCAACTGTTTAACAGATTGCCTCAGGCTTCCCCGAGGGTTTTCCACGGGAAGCCCGAGCTGAACTCTCTTGGGAGAGAGGGGCCTCGTTCCTCATTCAGGGTTCCTCAGGCCAGCGCCCCGATTGTAGAGCAGCTCCCTGCAGCGGGAGATCCCTCGTTCGCCAGTGGCCGGCGAGGCGCCCCCCCGGCAGGCAGAGGCAGAGCGCTGCCTGGCGTTGCGCCTACAGTGTCGCAGGGGCGCTTCAGGTCCCAGCGCGCTGAATCTCAACCTCCTCCTCCTCCTCCTCCTACTCCTCCTCCTCCTCCTCCTCCTCCTCCTCCCTCCTCCTCTCTCCCCCCTCCTCCTCCTCCTTCTCCTCCCTCTCCTCATCCTCCTCCTCTTATCCCCCTCCTCCTCTCCTCCTCTCCTCATCCTCCATCCTCCTCCTCCTCCTCCTCCTCTTCTCCTTCCTCCTCCTCCTCCTCCTCCTCCTCCTCCTCCTCCTCCTCCTCCTCCTCCTCCCTCCATCCTCCTCACTCCTCCTCCTCCCCTCCTCCTCCTCCTCCTCCTCCTCCTCCTCCTCCCCTCCTCTCCTCCTCCGCCTCCTCCCCCTCCTTTCCCGCCCCCTCCTCCTCCTCCTCCTCCCTCCTCATCCTCCCTCCTCCTCCTCCTCCTCCTCCTCCTCCTCCTCCTCCTCCTCTCCCCTCCCTCATCATCCCTCATCATCCCTCCTCCTCCCTCCTCCTCCTCCTCCTCATCCTCCTCCTCCTCCTCCTCCTCCCTCCCCTCCTCCCTCCTTCCTCCTTCCTCCTCCTCCTCCTCTTCTCCTCCCTCCTCCTCCTCCTCCTCCTCCTCCTCCCCTCTCTACTCCTCCTCCTCCTCCTCCTCCTCCTCCTCCTCCTCCTCCTCCATTCCATTTTCGCATAAGTAGCTCCTCCCTGTCGCACCAAGAGGCCAGTCAGACGGGCGGGCCGGGCGCTACGATTGAGATTCGCTTACCAGTAATGATCGTGAAACCTAAACTTTGGAAACAGTTACACAGATGGAGGGCGGACGGTTTTCAATATGTGGCTCGCGCCTTAGCGCCGCGCGCATTCTCTTAAACATTGCAAGAGCTTCACGGATTGAGGGCGGGCCGTTTTCAAAATGCGATTGTCGCTTCAGCGCCGCGCACATTCGCTTGCGGATTGCGGGTGGTTCCCTTTCGATCTGGTGCCGCGCACAGCCGTTTGAAACGTTTGCAAGAGTTTGACGAAATCCTATAGTCAACGTATCAGAATTTGTGTTTTTGGAACGGGTCAGGAGCGTCAGGGCGCAACTGTTACGCTGACTCGTGGTGTTGAAGTCTCAGGAATGGTGTTCTGGAGCGGTTCAGGATCGTCAAGACGCAACAGTCAAATTGATGGGTTGCGCTGGAGTGCCGAGAATAGTGCTCTGGCACGCTTCGGGGTCTTCAAACGGTTGCCTCCCAACGGGGCACTTCCCGCAGTGGAAAATATTTCTTGTAGAGGCCTGTGACATGGGAGCTTGGAGGGAGGGTTGATTCCATCGTCGTTGATGAGTCTTGGGTTTACATTGGTCCTACTCCTCCTCCTCCTCCTTCTGCCCGTCCTCCTCCTCCTCCTCCTTCCTCCTCCTCCTCCTCCTCCTCTCCTCCTCCTCCTCCTCCTCCTCCTCCGCTTCCTCCTCCTCCTCCTCCTCCTCCTCCTCCTCCTCCTCCTCCTCCTCCTCCTCCTCCTCATCCGTGGCCACGCGCAGCCGCGCAGCACGCCGCGCGCGCGTGGGCACGCGCCCCTGGCGCCAGGACGAGGACGCCATGGACGAGGACGAGGAGGAGGAGGCCGAGGGCGGCGGCGAGGCCGCGGGCGCGCGCGCTCCCGGCGACGGGGCCGAGGCTGGGACTCGTGGGCGTCCACCAGCGGGGGGGGGGGCGATGTCTGCCTGGCTCCCCAGGGCCCACGCCCCTCGGGCCGTGAAAAAAAAGCTACTGCGGGGGGTCTTTCGCGCTATTGTCGGCCTCTTCGAGGCCTTCGCCGGACCTCGGGACCGCCAAGAAACGGCGCGGCAGGAGAAACCGGTCCCGGGGACCCAGGCCCCCTCGAGTTATGACAAAATCATGACGGGAGGTTTTTCATTCTTTTTGGCCTTCGGGGACCCTTACCGGCCCTCGGGACCGTCGTCAAAAAACGACTCAGGACGAAAAACCGGTCCTGGGGAAAGGGTCCAGATCGACCGCTGGGGTCGACGTCATGAAAAATTCATGACGTCGGGGGTCCAGGGAGGGGGTCGAGACCCCTGGGGATCGACGTGATGATCATCACGTCGTGACGTCGAGGGTCTGGGAAGGTGCCCCCCGGGGCCCCGGGTGCCCCCCCGGGCTTTCGCTGCAGCGTGGGCCCCCCCGGGGGGCCCTCTGGGCCTCGTGCGAGGGGTGCCCCGTGGAGGCCGCGAGGAGGCCCCCCCCGGGAGTCCTGCCGGGGCACCCCCGGCCATGGGGCACGTGCGGCAACACCCGACCAAGGCTTAAGTCGGGCCTGTCCCCCTACAGGGAGATTTTCGACGAAAAATAAAACATGCCCCAAAATAATCAAACAATAGTTTTGGGACTATTTTTTGAGCATTTTCTTGCAATATTTTGAGGGCATGTTTTAATTTTTGCATCAAAAATCCCCCTGTAGGCGGGCAGGCCCGACTTAAGTGTAGGCCAGGTCTTCGCAAACCTGGCTGTAGACGGTGGAGGGTTAGTGACGTTCTGGCCTACAGTCAGCCCGCACAGTAAGGATGAGCAACTGTCCAAGGTTACCCGTGCATCGCTCCCCTTCGGCCCGTCCTCGGCCGCTTTCGCTGGCCGCGCCCCGCCCGCAAAGTGTCGACGTAACCTTTCAAGGCCCTGACATCCTTATCGTGCGTCCTCAGTGTCGGGGTTGACTGTGCTGGGCTTGGATGCAACGGCCTTGGAGGGCCATGTTAAGGTTTTCGAACGAGGTTGGCCAGCGAAAGTTACCCAGGATAGGCTGAATGGACAAGAATGCAAGAGTAGCTTCGGAAAGTCTTTCATCCTTACTATGCGGGTTGACTGTATGTAGTTTGCCCATTTTCTCTATGGGGCCAGCAGATATCAGCAGCCGTTGCCCCCTGCGGTCCTGGGACATCTCGGCGTCGGCGGGCGGTGGACGTGAACGAATCCCCGCCCCTCAGGGGGGAAGAAGAAGACGGTGGACGGCGATTACGAAGGTGGTTCTTCTCCCCTCCGAACGGCGTTCTTCTGCCCTCCGCTTGCTGGCGGCGATGACGGCGACAGCGACAATGGCGGCGGCAACGACGGCGGCGCTGCTGGGGGAGGCCTCCCGCGACGGCGGCGGCGGCGGCGGCAGCGGCGGCAGCGGCGACGGCGACAACGTCGGCGGATTGTTGGGCTCAGCGAGGTCAGTTTCAGAAGAGAGCCCGCAGGGAGAATGCACAGCACAAAAACCTTGTGCGCACACAGGATTGCATGCCTCTGGCTGCTTCTTTGGTGGGAAATCTTCCAAGAGAGAGGAAGGGAGAGAGAGAGAGAGAGAGAGGAACAAGAGAGATAAAGAGAGAGAGAGAGAGAGAGAGAGCGGAGGATGCGACGAGGGAGGCCGAGACGTGGAGAGGAGCGAGTCAGAAAGAGAGGGACTGGAGGAGCAGGAGGCTGAGGAGGAGGAGGCCGAGCAGGAGGTGATGGCAGGAACGGTGGGGTAGAGGAGGAAGCGGAGGCGGAGGACAAGAGGAGGATGATGAAAAAGAGAAAAAAGGAGCAGCAGGTGCGTTCATGAACCCATTGCGACCCCTTGAAGGGGAACCTTCTTGAGTAAGAAAGAGCGTTTTCTGTGGGAGGACCAGAACTGGCCCCCGCCACGCCCCCCCGTTCAAGGGGGGAGGGCACGAACCCGCCCTCCCCGGGGCCGGCGCGTGCGCCGCCTGGGCCTGGGCCTGGGCCTGAGCCTGGGCCTGGGCCTGGGCGTGGGCCTGGGCCTTGGCGCCGGCGTGGGCCTGGGCGTGGGCGTGGGCGTGGGCGTGGGCGTGGGCTCGGGTGTGGGAGTGGGCGTGGGCGTTGGCGCGGGAGTAGGCGTGGGCGTGGGCGTGGTTGTGGGCGTGGGCGTGGGTGTGGGTGTGGGGTGGGCGTGGGTGTGGGCATCGGCCGTGGGTGTGGGCGTGTGGCGCGCCCGGGCCGGCGCCAGGGGCCGAATGTTTCGAAGGTAAGCGCCCGTAAAATACACTCCCTCCTGAGCAACTGAGCAAGCAAGGCGTTGTTTCAGATTGCTTGGTATTGGTTTACATTGCGTTGCGCTGTTTGGCGTTGCTGTGCGTTGCTTGGCATTACTTTGTTTCAGCCGCGCGCAGAGTGGGAATGGGGGGATGGGGGAGGGCATCTTAGAAGCATCCTGCTTCTTAGATGAAAGGCCGGCGCCTTCTGAGAAGCAGCCTCATTCTAAGACGCCTCCTTTCTAAGAAACCCTCCCCCCTCCCCTCCTTGCGCGCGCCGCCAATTGGTTGTTTGCTTGGCATTGCTTTGCTTGACACTGCGTTGCACTGCTTGGCGTTGCTTGGTGTGCTGCATTGCTTGGCACCGATGTGCGTTGCTTGGCACTGCGGGGCAGCACGAGACCAAGACCAAGGAGCCCGAGGAAAGCAGTCAAGAAACAAGACTTAAGTCGGGCCTGTCCCTCTACAGGAAGAAGATTCAAAAACAGTCCAAAGATAGTCTGGGGACGATTCTTGCAATTTTCAAATATGTTGCTGCTTTTGTCTCCTATTTTGTATTTGTGTCCACAGTCCGCCTGTAGGGGGACATGCCCGACCTAAAACAAGACTCAGCCCAGGAAGGCAGTCAAGGAGCAAGACCAAGCACCCCCAGGAAGGCAGTCAAGGAACAAAACGAAACGTTCCTAGGACGGTGGTCTAGAAAGAAGACCTAGCAATCCAAAGAAGGCAGTCAAGAAGCACGACCAAGCAGCCCCAGGAAGGCAGCCTGGAAAGAAGGCCAAGAAGACAGGCCAGTGCAGGCCTGGCAGAAGTAACAACTCTTCAGGCGGCAACCCGAACTGCAGGAATACGGAAACCAGACACAGAGGATGGTTGGGAGTAAAGGGGCGTTCTGCTGCCAGTAGGGGGATGGCAGTTTCCAAAACTCTGCCCGGAAAGAAAAACACCCTACACCCCAGTTCAGGGGACCGAGCCTCCCCAAACCCCTCTCAGGTCCAGGGTTTCTTGGGTGTGGGCTGGGTTCCCCCCCAAAGCAAACACCCTCGAGTTGTTTTGCTTTGGGGGGGGGGGGGCAAGGGGGGTGGTCCCCCCCCAAGACCCCCCCCAGAACGGACCTCGGGTGGGTTTGTAAGGAGGGGGGCAAATGGGGTTCCCCCCGGAGCCCAACAACAAAACCCTCACGGTTTTTTCCCAAGGGGTTAAGGCTCCCCCCGGGCCCCGTTCAACAAAAAACCATTAGGGAGTGAGAGGGAGGTTTCCCCCCTGATATTTTTCCGAGGGGGAGGGAGCTCCCCCCCGGACCCCACCAAAAATTCACCTCAGGTGGTATTTTTTGGGAGGAGGACGCCCCCCCCCCCTCGGAACCCAACCGAAAAGCTCCCTCAAGGGCTTTTTTGCTAGGGGATAGCAGTGTTTCCCCCCCCGACCCCCCCCCAAAAGCTTCCCTCAGGGGGGATTCGATGAGGAGTTAGGAGGGTTTCCCATGTGGAACAGTGGAACCCTTTCCAAAAAACACCCTCAAGAAGTGTTTCTTTTTTCGGATGGGGCTTACCCCCGGACCCCCTCATGAGGGGTTTTGGTGTTCCCCCCCAGAGACAGCCCGCTCCCCGACAATTTGAAGGGGGGAGGTGGGTTCGGGTGGTTTCCCCTCCTGGAACCCTCCCCAAAACCTGTCTCAACAATGTTCAGGAGAAGGGGGAATTTTCACTCCGAGCCTCCCCTAAGATCGGGGGTCAGGAGGGCTTCCCCCTCGGACCCTCCCATAACAAAAACCCTAAAGGTTTTTGTCGGGGGGCGGGGGGGTCCCCCGCGACCCCCCCCCCAAAAAATATCCTCAGGGGTGGTTTGGGGATTCCCCCACCAGAACCCCCGCTATCCCTGTGAGAAGGCCGCCACCCTGCGAGGGCCAAAGCGCCCGGCCCCACAGCTGGCCGGCAGAGCTGGCAGAGCCCTCCGGCCCGTTAGGAGGATCGCCCTCCTCGTGAGGGTCGCTGCTTGTCGGTGGCCACAGCGCTCGGCCCACGAGACTGTTTTTTGTCTATGGGCCGGGCGGTGACCCGTGTTATCGGCCTTGCCCCCTTTGCCCCCCACCCCCCAGGATACTCCAGATTTCGTAATAAAAGGGAGGGGGTCTGGACCCTCCAAGACAAGCCATTTCAGACCTCCCCCGTGGGAGAACCCTCCAAAACATCGTCCCCAGACCCCCCCAGGCACTCCAAGATGGCCTGGAAGAGACCCCCCCCGAAATGAGACCCCCTCCCTTCTATTACAAAATCTGGAGTAACCTAACCTTGCCGGTTGTGCATGTCCGCGGGAGGGGGGGCGCGGGCATATGCAGGGCTGCCCACAGCGCGAGGGTAAGGTTATCGGCCAGCCCCCCTCCTCCCCCCCCCCCGGGACAACCCGGGCTATCGCCGAATCAAAAAAAACAGTCTCCACAGCTGGCCAACAGAGCCGGCAGAGGCCTGCGGCCCACCAGGAGGTGCGCAATCTCCGCCACTCTTCGAGGGCCAACGCGCCCAGCCCACAGCTGGCCCACAGAGCCGGCAGAGGTCTCCGATAACGCAGTTCTTAATGCCAGGTAAGAATCGAATCTCTTATGCTAAAGCATATTTGGGGAACAATCTCGCATACAGCCGATGTCGGGTATGACAGCAGCTCTTGGAAACTGCGCTGCCCTTTCTTTCATCGCCAGTTCTCCTCCACCTCATCCTCCTTCTCCCCCTTCTCTTTCGTCTGTCACTCTCTTCGTGTCTCCAGTTTCACACAGCAATGCCTACACGTCGCATTGTGCAAGCTCACGGGCCTCGCGCTTGCTGGTTTGAGTTGCGTGGTCAGTGGTGGAGACAACGCAGGGATGCGTCAGGGGAGCGCTCCTCCTCCTCCTCCTCCTCCTCCTCCTCCTCCTCCTCCACCTCCTCCTCGGCTCGGCTCGGCTAGGTAGAGGCTTGTACATAAGGGGGCTTTTATTGGGCTTGGGTTTCAAGGGCAAGCGAAACATGAACTAGATATGCTCACATCGGATCATAGTCCGTTCGCGCACTCGCTGTCGTGATATCAGGGGTCCCACCCAACAACTCACCACAGACCAACGACGAGCCAGGGCAGTCAGTCACAGGACGTACACGTATCAGGAAGCCACCAGAAGTTGTCCATCCCAACACTGCACGCACTCCGCTCACCGCATATTTCATGCGCACATCACTACCATGCAAAACACGCCGCGACCACATACTCGCAGATGGAAAAAGGAAGACACTGGGTAAGACAATCATTCCTCCCTTGCAGCTCAAGTGCAGGTGTCCTCCCCTGCACTTCTCACCTCCTTCGAAGGCGCCAATCTTCTGGGTCAAACACCCTAGGTGAACGGGTATAATGGCGAAGGGATCAGGATAAGTATGGGAGCCAAACGCACACGCATGCAGTTCGGCCATCTGCCCATCACTCTGGGCCGTAATCTCCCTGACCTGAGGCAGTTTTGGTAAAGGAGATCTGTTGTCCCAGCATCGTCGGACTCACGATGATCCACGGGACTCTTATGCAAGCGGGCACATGCCAACCTTCTCCTCCTCCTCCTCCTCCTCCTTTTACTCCGACTCCGACTCCTTGTCTTACTCCTCCTCCTAGCTGCTCCTACTCCAACTCCTCATAGTTGCTAAAGTTGGCCCAGGAGTGCGGGCAGGTTGTAGACGGCAATCGTGAAGGCTTTTTCCGCATCTTACACTTCTTTCGGCCCAAGGTCTATAGCAGCATTGGGCTCACGTCACTCGTCGGGGGAGTCCGTGTAAGATGCTTTCAGTGCTTCCTTTTTCGTAGCCGACGCGGACGGCTTATCCGCATTTTTGTCACCCCTACGTACTGCTCGCTGGCGACAGAGCAGCATCACCTTTGATTTGGAGTGGTTGATTACCTCTACCATCCCAGCCAAACTTCCAATGTGAGCAGCCCAGCGTCATGAGAGGCATGCCAGTGCACGATTCAGCTGGATCCGAGGTTCGTTCGCTCGTTCTCTACCCCCTTTCCTCGATCCTCGATCCTCGTCGTCCGCACTTGGAGCCTTCCCTCCCTCGCCGGTGCGAGGTGGAGGACGCCTCACCCCCACTCCTCGCGATCATCTATCTTGTCCTCGTCGTCGTCGTCGTCGTCGTCGTCGTCGTCGTCGTCGTCCCCCTTCTCCTTCTCCTCCTCCTCCTCCTCCTCCTCCTCCTCCTCCTCCTCCTCCTCTTCCTTCTGGATGCGTCTGCTAACAATGTAGCCGCGGTTGAACGAGGACAGGTTTGGGCTCCTTCCTTCAAGGGGGCCCTTAGCGCACGATTGGTCGCACATGGCAGACTATTCTCCCGAGTTTCAGCCGTATGGTCCTTGGATGCATTCGGCCCGATATCGCTCCGCCATCTCTTTTCCCCCTCCTCCTCCTCCTCCTCCTCCTCCTCCTCCTCTCCTCCTCCTCCTCTTCTTCCTCCCCATTCCACTCCTCCTCCTCCTCCTCCTCCTCCTCCTCCTCCTCCTCCTCCTCCTCCTCCTCCTCCTCCTCCTCCTCCTCCTCCCCCTCCCCCTCCCCCTACTCCCCTCCTCCTCCCCCTCCTCCTCCCTCCCGGGGGGCCCGGCCAACGTTCCGAGGGCCCTCCTCTGGTGCCCCTGCTGCCGTCGTCGCCGCCTTTTTGTGCCCCCGTGGTCGGTGCCCTGTGCTTCGGTGCCACGCGGCTGCTGCCCCGCATCTGGCGCTCCGCTCGCGCGGTGCCCTCCCTCGCGCGGTGCCCCCCCGCGCGCCCTCGCCGGCGCGAGGCGGAGGGCGAGGGCGCCCCGGGCGGGAAGATCTTCGCGGAGGCCCCGGGAGGGGCGAGGGCGACGGCCGGGGCCCGACGGGCCGAGGCCGAGGCGGGCGGGTGCAGAGGAGGAGGAGGAGGAGGGGGAGGAGGAGGAGGAGGAGGAGGAGGAGGAGGAGGAGGAGGAGGAGGAGGAGGAGGAGGAGGAGGAGGAGGAGGAGGAGGAGGAGGAGGAGGAGGAGGAGGAGGAGGAGGAGGGAGGAGGAGGAGGAGGAGGAGGAGGAGGAGGAGGAGGAGGAGGAGGAGGAGGAGGGAGGAGGAGGAGGAGGAGGAGGAGGAGGAGGAGGAGGAGGATGAGGAGGAGTAGGAGGAGGAGGAGGAGGAGGAGGAGGAGGAGGAGGGGGAGGAGAACGGGGAGGAGGAGGAGGAGGAGGAGGAGGAGGAGGAGGAGGAGGAGGAGGAGGAGGAGGAGGAGGGAGGGAGGAGGGGAGGGGGAGGAGGAGGAGAAGGAGGAGGAGGAGGAGTAGGAGGAGGAGGAGGGGGAGGAGGAGGAGGAGGAGGAAGAGGAGGAGGAAGAGGAGAAGGAGGAGAAGGAGAGGGAGGGGGAACGCAGGCGGACACGCCAGGGAACGCGACAGGAGACGAGCCAGGGGACGCGCCACGGGGCACCGAGGGGCGTACCGAGGCCAAGTCGGGGGAACTAGACCTGCGGTGTCAGGATTTTGTTCGACCCGGCTTCCCCGAAAAGTCCGCACGGGCGCCACTATAGTTTTGACCGCATCTTGGAAGTCGCAAGGACAAACGCCGCGCCAGCCCCCCCACCCCCACCCCGCTGATGCAAAGCAGAGGAGACCGACAAAGGACGACGGCCATGGACCTCATCGGTGACGTCGTCGCATCGCCTCGTTGCTCAGCTTTGCATCGCTGGGGGGGAGGAGGGGGCGCGGGCTGCGCGTTCGCCCTGGCACGGCGACAGATCCGGCTACCGCCGCATGGGCGCGCCGTGGTCTTTCCACTTCGATCGCCTCCTGAACGGCGCAATCTGGGGCAGCGCGGTCAGAAGCTCTAGTGCCCGGCAAGACCCAAGACTGTCCGCGGTGTCACCAAAGCCTCGTGAGTGAGAAGATGGCTCGGCGGCTCAATTCTGCGCAGTTGTTTTGAACGCTTGCCCAGGTATACGTTGGGGATGGGCACGAATGGGCACATAGAGATGACTGGGGAAACCAGCTTCCACCAATCTGAGAGGAGACTTGGCGATCTTTCTCAGTCAGGCCTGCATGGCTGCTGGGCCCCCAAGTTTTCCATTGAGGAGATGAGATCGGGGAGTTTAGGATTGGAGTCCGATCGGTAGCACGTGAGTTGCCTGAGTGCGCGGTAGAAGTCCTATCCGGGGCCTAAGAAGACGCATGCCGAGGAGGTGCGCAACGCTTGTGCGCTTGATGTGTCCAGACAGTGGGAGAGGCAATGTCCACACCCCTGCTGTTGATGCCGCCGTGTTGAGCGTGGCCAGCGTAGCTTGTTAGATGCTGCACTATGTGTCGTCTGAGAAGTGCACGGTGACAATTGGAGAGGTGGGATACCATGACGGACCTGGAGCTAAGCATGATGGCCGCTGCACGTGAGCCTTCGTATTTGTCAAAACTGACGCCTCCCAAGCAAATGGTTCCTCAATGCGCAGACTCGCGTTCGCGTTAACCAGAAAATGAGATCGCGCCAGGACATGTGCCTACGCCCCGACGAATTGCCCTGGGACGCCGTCGACACTAGCTGCTGGGGAGGGGGCTTCGGCATGAGATCGCTCGCGATTTGGCGAAGTGAAATCCGTGATGGGAGAGGGGGAGTTGGCGTTGAGGACTTCCAGGATGTTCAGGATGGTATGGTTGCGCAGATCTGCTATCCCTCGCGGAAGGACTGCGCCGAATTCTATGCGCGAGAAATGGTGTGGACATTCGTTGATAGCCTGTAGCGGGTCCGGAATGGGCATCCCCGTCGGGTCTTACAGGGCGGGGGGAGGATTTGCACTGAGTTTTTTCTTTGAGCATGATCCGTGCGGGTTTGTTTTGGCAAACGCCTCCTTAACTATTGCATGTTGTCAAGCATACTCAACCGACACTGCTGCCCCTGCGAGGTGGCGAAGAGCATCTAGCGCCAGTGACTCTCGAATCGCCGAACTAGAATGCTGAAGGAGCAGCTCCCTGGACATTGCTGCGTGTCCTTTTAATACGGCAACAGTCTTGCAGGCTCTCCTCCAGGCGATACCTCCCTCCCCTTTGAGGGGGGGGGGGAATAATGCAAACCGCAGGCGCAAGAGGTAAGCTGAGTCCGCGGGAGCAATCTGTGCGGGCGCCGTGGGCTGGTGGAGGCGATTCGCCATGCATGCACATGGCTGGCCGTGTCTCGGGTCACGCTTGCACACTCCATGAGAGGCCACTGAGCACCATAATGGCCAACAGGCCCCCTGTGGCCCTCCACTGCATTGCGCCCGACAGGCGAAACTGCCCGCGGTACTCAGATACTCTGTGCCAGGTCAGCGCGACAGTGAGATCTTGGCTTGGGCAGCTCAGCGCCGAGTTGTGGTGATGCCCCCCCCCCCTGATCTATGAAGGATAGCGAAGCAACCGATATTCGGTTGTTGTGGGGAGAGCGGTCTTTGGCCGTGGTTCGCACAATGACCTCGCATACAATGGCGCCACGAACGAGTGGGTCCAGCAGGACTTTGTGATCGAGAGGGGGCACGGGGGAGGGAGGAGGTGTCAGACCCAAAGGGTCATTTCGTGACCCCTTTGTGGTCGAGCTGTTTTTTATGAAAGGGGTCTGGGCGCCCCTGGTCCGACGGAGGAGGCCGCCAGCGCTGACTCGCGAGCGCGATACTTTCAGTGAGCCACAGAAGTTGTTCACGGGAAGTCTTGGTTGAGCAAGTCGTGGGCATGTCGCGAGCGAGAGCGCGGTGAGCGGGGAGGAGGCACGATGAGACAGGAGAGCGTAGGGAGGAAGCAGGAAACATGGACGAGAAAGCGCTGGTCCAGGCCCACATTGCGTATTGTAGGGCACCCCGTGAATAGTAATAGTATTAAAAATACTTTGTAAATATGAATAACATTACTACTAATCATAAGCATAGTAGTAGTAGTAGTAGTAGTAGTAGTAGTAGTAGTAGTAGTAGTAGTAGTAGTAGTAGTAATAGTAGTAGTAGTAGTAGTAGTAGTAGTAGTAGTAGTAGTAGTCGTCGTCGTCGTCGTAGTAGTAGTCGTCGTCGTCGTCGTCGTCGTAGTAGTAGTAGTAGTAGTAGTAGTAGTAGTCGTAGTAGTCGTAGTAGTCGTAGTAGTAGTAGTCGTAGTAGTAGTAGTAGTAGTAGTAGTAGTAGTAGTAGTAGTAGTAGTAGTAGTAGTAGTAGTAGTAGCAGTAGCAGTAGCAGTAGCAGTAGCAGTAGCAGTAGTAGTAGCACTAGTAGTAGTAGTAGTAGTAGTAGTAGTAGTAGTAGTAGTAGTAGTAGTAGTAGTGGTAGTAGTAGTAGTAGTAGTAGTAGTAGTAGTAGTGGTAGTAGTAGTAGTAGTCGTAGTAGTAGTAGCAGTAGTAGTAGTAGTGGTAGTAGTAGTAGTAGTAGTAGTAGTAGCCGGAATATCTGCAACATAATAATAATCACCAACTAGTATATTGATACTAGTATTGTTCGAACCATGACAAGAAGAACACGTACGCACATCACCCATAGTAATACTACTACCAACAATACTAATTCTATAATAATATTATTATTGCGACTAACAGTAACAATCAAACATAGCACGAATACGCCATACGAATAATAATGATACTAGCCATGAGAGAACATTAAGAACAAGAAGGGGACACACGCACACGTGTACAACTAGGAGACCATACTAGTAATACCACGGGTATGGATTTGGCTCAGAAGACGAAAGAGGGGGAGGATGAGGAGCAGGAGGAGGAGGAGGAGGAGGAGGAGGAGGAGGACGAGGAGGGAGAGGCGGAGGAGGAGCAGGCGGAGAAGGAGGAAAGAGGAGAAGGATGAGGAGGAGGAGGAGGATCAGGAGGAGGAGGAGGAGGAGGCGGAGATGAGGAGATGAGGAGATGAGGAGATGATGAGATGAGGAGACGCGGAGATGAGGAGATGAGGAGATGAGGAGACGAGAAGATGAGGCGATGAGGAGATGAGGAGATGAGGAGGAGTTGAAGGAGGAGGAGGAGGAGGAGGCGGAGGAGGAGGGGGAGGGGGCGGAGGAGGAGGGGGAGGGGGAGGAGGAGCAGGAGGAGGAGGAGCAGGAGGAGGAGGAGGAGAAGAGGAGGAGGAGGAGGAGGAGGAGGAGGAGGAGGAGGAGGAGGAGAGGAGGGGAGGGGGGGGAGGAGGACCAGTAATATCAGGATGAGGGGGATCACGATGGGGAGGAGGAGGTGGAGGAGGAGGATGACGAGGAGGAGGAGGAGGAGGAGGAGGAGGCAGAGGAAGAGGATGACGAGGACGGGCAGGAGGAGGCGGGGGACGAGGAGGAGGAGGAGGAGGAGGATAAGACGGAGGAGGAGGAGGTGGAGGAGGAGGAGGAAGAGGATGAGGAGGCGGCAGAGGAGGAGGAAACCGACGAGGAGGAGGAAGAGGAGGAGTAGGCGGAGGTGGAGGAGGGGGAGGAGGAGGAAGAAGAAGTCGAGCGAGAGGATGCGAGGAGGGGGATGATAAGGAGAAGGCCAGGTGGAAGGGGGGAAGGCACTTGGTGAAAAGGAGAAGGACGTGGATGCGGAGGAGGAGGAGAAGGTCGACGACGAAACGTTTGACGACGACGCCGAAGGCGCAGACTGATCAGGAGCATGAGGACGCGCGAACAAAATTGAGGAGCAGCCTCGACTATTCACAAGGCAGCCCGCCGTTTGGTCCCCACCGCCAGGCGAAACGTCGAAGATACATCGGGCGTGGCCCCGCACGCATTCGAATGCCCACCCGCCGTTTTCGTACCACTCATGTTACTCCCCGTCCTCCTCCCCAGCCTGATCGTCGTCATCGTCCTCCTCGTCCTCCTTCTTATGCTCCTCGTCTTCCTCTTGCTCCAACTCATCCTCGTCGTCCTCGTCTTGGACCTCGTCCTCGTTTCTTCGTTGCTTCCTCCTTCTCATCCTCCTTCTACTGGCAGAGGTCTGTCGATTCGACGTTGACGCGAGAACAACGCGGAGCGCGTGAATTGTGTCCAGGGTCCAATTCGCACAGATAGTTGAGAGATCGAAAAAAAATGGCAGCTGCCACCAATCGCGCCAAGCGCTGAACTTTGCAATGGTGCAGTTGCATGTGGATGGAAGAAACAACATGTCGTGGATGCTTTGCCAGCGCGGTGCCATGCATGACCCCCATAGTTGTTCTCTGGGGTCGGCGGCAGAGGCAATAGGTTGCGCAACAGGTTGCGCCATAGGTTGCGAACTAGGCGGCTTGGAATAAAACCGACTCCTCTCGTTTGGTCCATCGGTTGCGCCCTTGGCGGCTCAGAATACAACCGTGTCCTATCGGTTGCGCCATAGGTCGCGCCCTCGGCGGCGGGGAATAAAACCGTTCCATATCGCTTGCGTCATAGGTTTCGCGTTTCTTATCGGTTGCGCCATAATTTGCGCCCTCGGCGGCTGAGAATAAAACCGTCTCCTCTTGGTTGCGCCATGAGTTACGCCCTTGGCGGCCGAGAATACAACCGTTTCCTAACGGTTGCGCCATAGGTTGCGCCCTCGGTGGCTGGGAATAAAACCGTCCCATATCGCTTGCGTCATAGGTTTCGCCCTAGGCGGCCAAGAATACAACCGTCTCCTATCGGTTGCGCCATAAATTGCGCCATCGGCGGCCGAGAATAAAACCGTCTCCAATCGGTTGCGCCATAGGTTGTGCCCTTGGCGGCCGGAATTACAAACGTCGCCTGACGGGCGTGACCAGTCTGTTCAGTTCACTTCATTTCGCTTCAATTTACCTCGCGAGAAACAAATTCGGGCTACGCCCGGAAAGATGATGTTTTGGACTCTGTTTACAATCATACACGCCCCACGCCGTCCAAGAAACTCCACCGCCTGCTCAAAAGGTGCTCCCCTTGCGCAACCCCCTCGCGCGCACCGCCAATAGCGCACTCGCCGGGCCAGATTCCCCTCTTCAAGCTACACGGCAGCCTGGACAAGGAGGAGCGTGCCGGGCACATCCGGGACTTTTCCCTGGCGGCGAGCGGCGTGCTGCTGTCCACCGACGCTGCGGCCAGGAGGGGGACCGGGGGCCGCGCGAATCGACTCCAAGGGGCCCCCGGGGCAAAGAAGCCGCAGCCGTCTGTCTCCCTGTAACATTCAGAAGGGAGAAATGTACCGATACTCACCACCCACCAAACCACCCCAACCCAACCCGAAGGCTCAGATTTACCCTCGATTTCCAGTGGGGGGGGGGTCGGGAAACATCGAAAAAACACATGTGGAACCCTTACCCCCCCCAGCCCGAAATTCGGGTCTTCGGGTTGGGTTGGGGTGGTCTGGTAGGTAGTCAGATACCGACACCCTTACCGCGTTTTCGACCTGTTTGGGCCTCGTGGGAGGCCCTCGCCACCACCGCTGGACTCGCTCCGAGATTATGGCCAGAACGCGGGCGGCCCCGCCGAGGTGCGCAGCGTGGCGGTTTCGGTACTACGGAGTCCTCCCAGTAAGATCTCCCTTACGTCAAGCGCCGTCGCGTGTGGGCACGATCTGCGAACACAAAGCCGCCTGCGATCACGCAGCGATGCGAGCAGTGAGAGTGTGAACCTCCCGTGTGGAAACAGGGAGGATGGGGGAAGACGACGGATTGAGGAACAGTGGGGGCCCGCAGTTGTCCTCATCCTCGTCCTCGTCCTCGTTCTCGTCTCCCTCCTCAGTGCGTCGCGGTCGCTTGCCGGCACGCGGTGCCTTGCGCCGTCGGGGTCTCGAAGCATGCTCCCGAAAAAGGCCTTCAGTGGGGCTTCCTGGGCGGGCCAGGTTTTCATGTTTGGGGCCATTTATGTTTCTACAAGCGCCAGGACTCTGAAATAATTGTTCTGGGTGACATGCCTTGTTCAAAATCGGGCCGCGGGATGATTGAGGAGGAGGGGGAGGAGGAGGAGCAGGAGGAGGAGGAGGAAGAGGAGGAAGAGGAGGAGGAGGAGGAGGAGGACAAGGACGAGGACGAAGAGGAGGAGGAGGTGGAGGAGGGGGAGGGAGGAGGAGAAGGAAGGAGGGAGAGGAGGAGGAGGAGGAGGCGGAGGGGGAGGAGGAGAAAAGGGAGGAGGAGGAGGCGAGTGATGGTGGTGAGGAGGAGGAGGCGGGAGGACAAGGGCGACTGGGGAGGAGGAGGTTGGCGGGTGGACGGCTGAGAGATGAGGGATGAGGGATGGGGGCGGGGTGAGTCAGAGAATGGCGAGGGAGACAGAACGGCTTTGTAGGCGTTTGGGTGTTCTGGGCCCGGTGGTCCGTCGCCGCTGCGCCCAACGGTTACTTGAGAGACTGGCGACAAATGGGCGATTTGGGAGGGGGGCAGCTGCTTTGGACTCCAGCGCCGGCAGCCGTACGAGAAGCTAATATGCAGCTGATTCACTTCCTTCGAGGGTGGACAAAAAGACATAAACATACACTTGTGTCGGTACGCGCGGACCGTCGAAAGTTCATGTTTATGCAGTTCTTGCTCCGTCTATACCCCCGCTTGGCACCTCCCTTTGCTACGGTCGGTTGTCTAAGACAGGTCGTCGACAGCTCAAAGGCATAACGAAACGCCCAACATGGCCTCCAGAAGGCCCATGAGGCGCCCAAAACGCACCAAGAAAGGTCCACGAGGGCTCCCAATAGAGCCCACCTAGCCCAAACATGTTTTTCTTGTGGTACTTGCAGGATCTCGGCGTTCTCGCATTTTCACGCTTCCGCGCTCCAAGACGGCCCAAGGAACGGCCGAACAAACACCTCAAAAGAGCCCCGAAACGACCCGAGAGGCTCTCAAGACGGCCCAGCAGCTCCCAAGACCGGCCCAGGAGGGGCGACTTTGGTTTGGCGTGTCGCGCCGCCGGAATTCTGGTCCGCCCCACTCCGGCGTCCGTGCCCCGAGCTGATCCGAGCCTCCCGCCCCGCGGAGCGGAGTGGCAAAAGCTCTCCGCTTGCAGGCGGCAGCGTGTCGCCGGGGCCGCTGCCGCGACACTCATGAAAGCAGCAGTGTTTTGCCGCATCCCCCGAGTCGTAGGAGTTATCGATACGCAGGAAGGCAAGGCTTCATGACATGTGGTGCTTTGGGCTGGCTTTTGATTATGGCAGGATGGTTGACAGGGTGCATGCAGGTGGCCCCTTGTTGCTCGTATCCTTGCCTGTGGGGGAAGCGAGGGAGGATGAGCAACTCTTATCGTGTGCACCTGTTGTACGGGATACGATGTGGAAGAAAAGAGCGAAGCTCCTGTGTGAACACATCTTTTCATAACACATCCTCGCTGTCGCCGGCTTTTCGGTACTTCCGCTTTGACTGCCAAGAATCGGATTATGATGTGGTGGTGTGCATGGGGTGACAGGCGCTCGCCATGCACTCCTCCCCCGAGTCGGGTTCCTCGTGCGCTCTGTCGTTGATCCAGGCCCCACGTTGCGCCAGGGTGGCAAGAGTAACGCATTGTTCCATCGTGGGAGGCAGCCATGTTCACGTCTACCGCAAGTGGAAGCGAGTGATAAGGACGTGGGCGGTCACTCGCTTGCTGCGTCACGGCACGGGAGACACAACACAGATGCCCAGGGTGAATTGCATTTGCGACGCCTCCATCCTGGTTTACGTGACCAGTTGCAGCTGGATCTTTGCCTTTTTCCTGACCCTCTTCATCCAGAGCGTCCTCCTCCGTAGACGTTTTGGATCGAGCCGTATGTTATCAAGCAGCGCTTGAGCACGCATTCGGAAGAGTCTCAAGCGAGCAGCCATTGTGTCAGGTGGTTTCGGGCCTGGATTGTGCCTGCTCGACGGCATGCCACTATTTCATCTTACCTTCTTCGCAGTCCTCTCTCTGTCGCACCCCCTGGAGCCTCCAAGGACTGCCGAGGCCGAGGGCCGCGGCGACACGGCAGCGCCCGCGGCCGCTGCGCCCTTGGGCTCGCCGCACTGCTCGACCAGGAGGCTGCTGTCGGGGAACTGCCTCTGGCTGTTCGCGGCGGCAGACGTGCAGGATGCGTCGGAGATGGCCCTCCTCGAAGAAGAGAAGACGGCAGTAGACGTAAGCTTTCGACGGTCCGCGCGGCTTTTGTTGGATCTGGCGGGCGCGGCTAGGACGAGGAGGAGTCCGCTCTCAGGGCGTCCTGGAAGGCTCTCAGAGCGCACTGGAACGCTCTGGGAAGGCCGCGGCGCCCAAGACATGCTCCAGATCCGCCGGATCTCCAGAGATTCTCGATTCATCCTCACCCGAACCCAGAGATCCGATGTCGTGAGTTTTTCAATACGGGGTCTCCGGAAGTCTCGACCCATTCCCCAGGACCGGTTATTCATCCCGAGTCGTTTTGTGACGGTCCCGGGGCCTGGCGCGGGCCGCTAGAGGCCGAAAATCGACAAAGACCTCCGTCTTGATTTTTTCAATGCGTTGGCGGTCTGGGAGTGCATCCTCTTGCTGGCTTCGTCCTACTTCATGTATCCGCGCTGACCCCAGGGGCTCTCGGAACAAAACGTGAGGAACCATCGAGCAGGAGCCTTTGTTGTCGTGGCTGGGCCCCCGCCGACTTGATTGAATTGCGAGGAGGTCTCGAGCGAGAGCGCCGCTCCTGAGTTCGGAGGCCTCTCTGGCCAGGGTGTCTCGAAGTAAAGAGTGAGGAAGTACTAAGTACAGTGCCGTTTTTATACATGCTCCGCGTGCGGATCATGTATTACAAATGCAGGGTTTTGTATGAAAAACAACGATGAGTTCATGCATAAGTTGATCATGTATCCGAAATCCTATATAACAAGAAATCCGATGTATCAAAAACTGCCCTGTATCGAGCGGGAGCCGCTGTTGTCGTGGCTGGCCCTCTCCCCGGCGCGCGGCGAGCGCCTCCCGCGCCGCGGCGCCGGAGGCCTGCAGATGCAGCGCCTCCGGGGCCGCCCCCGGGCGCGCTCCGCGCGCCAGGGAGGGGCTCTCAGCCGAAAAGCAAAGAGCCTGTTTTTCTTCAGATTCGGGCAAGTTGACTTGCATGGACGGGGGGGGGGCGGAGTCTGAAGCAAGCCGAGAACAACTCGACGTGCGGAAATCACGCAAGGCGAAAGGCACTTGCACGCTCGTGTTCGATTGAAGAGGGGCGAGGGGGGGGGGGGGGCGAACGCCATGCAAGTAAGCTTGCCTGGATATAAAGAAAACAAGCTAAAACGACACCACCCCAGACCGCCAACGTAAGGAAAAAGTCAGGACGCAGATTTTTGTTTTCGATTTTCGGCCTCTATAGCGACCCTCGCCGGGCCCCGGGACCGTCAACAAAAACGACTCAGGATGAAGAACCGGCCCTGGGGAATGGGTCGAGACTTCCGCAGACCCCGTATTGAAAAAATCACGACATCGGGTCACGACGCGCGCCAGGGAGGGGCTCTCGGCCAAAAACAAACGGCACCACCCCACTTACTCCAAATCCCTTACGAAACGACCCCCCGCTAGCAAACCGGACCCCCCTCCAAATACGACCTAATATTCCGGACCCCCCTTTTCGCCGGGGCGCCTTAATAAACCGGACCCTCTATACGCTCCAATCCAAAGAAAGCGCTCTGATAAACCGGACCCCCCCAGTTACAAAAAGGCGCCTGAAAAAACCAGACCCGGGGGACGATTAATACGGGATTTGGAGTACGGCCCTACATGTTGCGCTACGGCCCATCGGGGGCCGTAGCGTATACCATACAAGAGCCCACGCCAGATGTCCAGGTATACGCCACGGCTCGTGGGGCCGTAGGTGGGGTGGTGTCGTTTGTTTTTTCTGGTCCAGGCTCGGCATCGCTCGGACCTGTGCACTTTTTCTCGGCGAGGACCGTCGACGCGCATCTCGAATCATCGTGCGAGAAAGTACACGCACGAAGCCGAAAACGCAGATAACGGAGGTGCAAGCGATGGCGAGGGGGGCGGGGGGTGCAGATCCAAGAACTCCGCGCGATCTGTCGAAAGATGATGCTTGTGCCGCTCTCTCTTCCTCTACGTCCTGCACCACTTCGTCACGCACTACACGGCCATGTCGGGATGTAACTCCTGGGATGTCAAACTCGGACTTTGCCATGGTCGGAAATCCGATTTTG